AGCAGGAACAAACTTTTCCCAGAACAGCTTGACGTTAAGGCCAAAATCCAGTGTGCGTGGGAGACAGTCTGGGTCAGCATAAACCTGGCCTATGATCTAGGGAAAAATGAGAGGAGCACTTAAGTACAGCGACAGTTCCAGAGTGTTAACAGGGAACTTCAGCATTGGGCAGAAGCTCTTTCAAGGTATTAGGATGCGAAGGAAAGAGCAGAAACACTGTTCCTCCTTTCCACTGGGGCTAGTTACACAGGGCAATGAGCAAAGCACTGCATAAAAACTTCACATGAAACTTTTTCAAGACCTGATGATATGGCCGCTGTTGTGAAGGAAGGCTCAGACGCCTTCTCTTTCTCCCCAGGGTCTCCAGTAGATACAGGCTGAGTATCTCTGAAGATACCGGATGATGTCTACTGCCCAGGGAGCTCGACAGTGTCTTGCTGCTGGGTCAGCTACTGTGCTGTATGCTGCTAGGCACGACACAGCCCCTCCTGACTGCAGGTAATCAACATAACCTGCATCACCATCCCATCTCTCCCCTCTCACACAATCTTACTGCACCACCAGCAAAGCTCCTCTGTCTACAGAGCCTGTCCTAAACAATGCTGTGAAGTCAACAGCGCCACAAATTCTGAGTTGCTGTTACTGGCAGATTCAACCCCATCCACAGTCAGAGGGTAGGGGTGGAGAAAAGAGCCACCACAACCAATGCTCAGGAGTTTGCAGGCGAGAGCCGGTACAGGAAAGGGCTGGGTGGAACAGAGAGGAGCTCTGCCCCAGCACTCAGAAGTCCCAGTGCTCATCACCTCCTGCCCTAGGGGACTCAAAGTGTAATAAGAGGGAAGGAACCCACAGCGGAGAGCTGTGGAGTGATCTGGACTCAGACAAGGTCAACGGCAATACAGACTCTCACATGGGGAAGAGTATTAGGTTTAAAGCCTCAGTGGGTATCACAAAAAGGGTGTTATTTATAACCACCCAGGCTTTTCTATGCCAATAACTCAGCAGGACAACCACATCCTGTAACTAGACAGTGGAACGCCCATTATGTACTTTGGCAGAGTTATTTCCTTATCTGTTTCACTGTGTAACTTCTTTTTTTAGCATCTTTATTTTGGCGACAAGGAAAATTTTCAAATGCTACTACCCTTTTATTTGTCTTTTTTTTCTAGATGAAACAATTGTTTTAATCCTGCATACAGATTTTTCAAGTTCCTAAATCTATCACTCACAACCACAACATTCTCTGAGAGGAGGGCCCAGTGTAAACAGAGCTCCAGATGAGGCCGCAAAGATTAATGCACAGATATTTTCTTTGTCCCCTTCATCTAAGCACTGAAGATGAAACTGTGCTGGTCTCCCCTGGTGTTCCTACAGCTGCTGTGTTATCCGTACACATAACACCCCACGTTTAATCTGTACTTCTACTGTCTTACACACCTTTTAAACTGAAAATACCTTGTCCTTTTTGAGTGATGCTCTTTGCTCTGCAGACAGAAAAGCCTAACAGTAAGACTATGCATTGGCTCAGAGATAAACTAAGCCAACAGACTGCAAGGTGCAAGATTCATTAATCAACCTGCAAAAAGGTTTCAGTTTCCCCTTCTTTGACCTGAAGTGCCAACCACAGTGGAGGCCCTGAATTTGCTGAGATTACAGAGCTGCTTGTTCTTTTAGTGAGGCAATAGAAAAAGTATCTTAGGGAATATGTCTATTTTCAAATGGATACCAGGGCTCAATCAGAACTTGAAGGACTTTTTTACAGCTTCTCTCAGTCCAGGAGGAACCTCTGTATTTCTTTCAGTCCAGGAAGAAATTCTCTCTGGGACCAAGAAGTTACAAGCCAGTGACCTTCCTTGAGGGAACAGGGGCAGGGTAAGCTTGTACTCCCAACCTAATTCACTGTGCTGTTAGGTCACAGACTGCACACTCGGACACAGAGATCTGGCTGATACAACGTGTGCAAGGAGATGGCAATGGGGAAGAAGCCCATTAAAGATGCCACGTAATGTCCTGGTCTTACCTCACAGAGAACAATCCCAAATGAAAAGATGTCCACTGTCTCATCGTAGCTCTGTCCTGGAGGAAACATAAAACATTCAGCTCTGTGACAGACAGATTCTCATCCAGCTATTCCAGGAGCTGCCAGCCCAAAGCTTAACTAAGCCTGTTCCCTGGAAGGCTCCAAAACAGGAGACAAAGCAAGGCTTAAATCTGAGCAGGTCAGTTACCCCAAGATATGTACACCAACTGCATCTTCCTATTTACTGCCATCACGTATTTTAACCCCACTTCTTTCTTCTACTGGGGAATTAAAGGACATCACAGGGCAGCCTTGTGTATCAGAGGTCTAAGCAAATGGTAAGGATAACCACGGAAAGCTGCTGCCCATTCCCATTGATTGCTGTTCTAGTGCATCTCTACTGTGCACTGAGTCAGTGCTGAGCTCCCCCAACAGCCAGCGAGTGCCCAGTCCCTGCTGCAGTGACTGCAGAGATAATAAATTACACACTAGCAGCACTTTGAATCTGGAAAAGCAGACTGGCTCCAGCATGCCATTATCAGCTTACAGACACGCCCCTCCCAAGCCAATATCTGGTAAACAGCCTTGCTTTCAGAGGTGATGTCAGACTCCGCTCCTGCTGTTGTCTTGACAAATGCCAGGTCTGAGACAGGCTCTGAAAAGCAGCCTCAGGCTCCAGTAGGGCCTGTAAGCCTTGAGAGAAGGAAAACAGAACAGCACACAAGAAAGCAACATGGAGAAGAGTTGAGTTGGGAGAGAAGAGCCAAGTCCTCCCTTCCCTCATGGACTCTATGTTGGACAATACTGATACCATGGCCAGCCAGACTGCCCAACCTGGTCAGACAGACCTGCTCATTAGGAGGAAACTGTATCCGTTGTATTTCACCTTTACCTCAACTCCTGCAGGGGCAGTTTTTCCCCTAAGGGACATAGTTCATCTTTAATGCAATTGAGGGCTGCGTGCCAAAAACCGGATTTCCCTGCACTGGGACAACTCCCACCCCAATTCTGAGGCTTCAGCAAAACTGGCAGCAGATGGCTTCTCCCTGGATCTACGCAACAGCACACGTAAGCCTCATCCTGGAGTTTAATGATTCCCTGTCTCAAGGGGCAGTTCCAAAGCATGAGGCTATAATAGAAACTGATCTCAGGTTCAGTCTTATTTCAGGCCTCTTGTCTTCCCCATTATCTGGATCATAGCAAGTTTAGGTCTGTTGCCCTCCTGAATAATCTTGCTGTCGAGCCAAAAACATTACCTCAGCTGGTACAAAGGCTTATCAGGTCAGGTACTGCAAGAGAAGTGCAGCTAGGGTACCTGTGTGTATAAATAAGCTTGCATATTAGCAGGTCTAAAACCATAGGCTCTAATAGGTTTGATTGTTACTAGGGGCCAGAAGCTTTCAGTAATCCTATCATCCCTACACCTTGTGCCAGGCTGTCTCCTCACCTGCACCCTGGTATCAGGATCTTACCATTCAGCATCTCTGGGGCCATCCAGTATGGGTTGCCAACCACCGTGTAGCGCTTCTTCCTGTCACTCTTGCGTAGGGTTCGTTTCTTGGCAGACGGCTTCTCTAAAGTGGGCTTTTTTCTTTCCTCCACAATCAGCCGAGACAGGCCAAAGTCAGCCACCACCACCGTCTTATCCTACACAAGGGATTTAGTACAAGCCACTGATTTCTCTCAGCTCCCTTCAGGAACAAAGTGGTGGTAATTCTTGTTCACTATCCACCACATTGTAAGGGCAACTATCAAGGTTTCCTGCAGCCAGATGAGTGTAGCAAGCTGTCCAGACAGGTGTAAGGCATCCAATTGCGATCCCAACTCATCATTTCCTCTCTTTATTCTCTTACTTCCTGTGTGGTTGCTAACACTAATCCCATCAATTTGGCTTTACTTGCAAGGGCAAAACTGGACCTCTCCTTTCAGACCTTCCTATTCTACTTGGCTGGGAATTAACTTAGACTTTCATCCTGGGTCATTTGAAGCCTGCATGCTAGTCTTGTATTCCAGCCAAGTGAACAAGGGCAGGCTTGAGGGAATGAAGCTACACAAAAATCTTGTGACCTAGCATTTCAAAAAGAGCACACACATCTGCAGACACCCGCGCACTTGTCTGAATCCTGAGTGTCCATAAAGAGAGTCATCAAGTGGTTAAAAGAACAGAAGCAGCTGGAGAAAACATCTCATAGTTGGGATAAGGAACCGAGCTGTACCAACTCTCTACAGCTCTCGTGACTTAATAGGAGATGCTATCACAGGAAAGCGGGTAAGAGAACAGAATGAAGAAACGGTGAAAACTAAAGCAGTCTGGAAAATCCTATGTGAAGATGAAGCTCCCTTGTTTAGGACACTAAAAGCCTCTCTGAAGTCAGTTCCACCCTGACAAAAGAGGGAACATCATGCGGAGAAAACCCAGGGAGGAAGATGGGGAGGGGAGCAGCATGCTGTGGGGAACAGAGGTGTAGCTCACCAACTTGATTAGGCAATTGTGTGAATTCAGGTCTCTGTGAATGATGCACATGGAGTGCAAGTAAGCCTGGAAACAGAGGGAGAAAACTTGGTGTTAGGGGTTCCCAGGTGAGTATGTCCCTTCACATTTACAGACCTCAACAACCAGTTGCTAGCAGTCAAGGGAGCATCCACAGCATTGCCCTCCTGAAGCAGCTAACCCCGACCCTGGAGTTTTGCTCTGTGACGAAGGGACAGTCAAACTCACCATTCCAGAGGCAATTCCTTTGGCAAAGCTGACCTTCTGCTGCCAGGGAAATGGGTCCTGAAAGACAAGTCCTCGATGGTCAGGGACTATCTTACCAGCCAGCTGGTGACAGCAATTGCTCCACAACAGAGACTTGCAGCAGTCAGAGAAAGATGATACTGCCCCAGGAAGAAGTGTTTCCTGCCTCAGGCCACCCACAGCTAAGAAGCAGCTTTTCCACACAGCTCCAAAGGAGAAGACTAACAACAAACACCATAAGGCTGCTACAACCAACAACACACCGTCAGCCTCATTGAGTAGAAGTCTACCAGGCTTCCATACTCACCGCATTGCGGAGGAAGTCTTTCAGGGTACCCCCCTCAATGTACTCAGTGAGCAGATTCAGCTTCTTGTCCTTGTACAGTACACCGATGAACTTCAGCACATTGGGGTGATCCAGGCTGCGCATCACTTTCACCTGGGAAGCATAGACATCACACCCCAAATAAGAGAACGGAACAAGTCCTGATGGTGACAAGCACTCCAATGCTGGAGGTCCCCTCCAGGGATCACAAAGTACACTCAAACCCCAACCTTGAGGCAGTCAATCAACTGTTGCCTCTTCATTTTCATGCTGTGAAATTAACCTGATCTTAGTCTTTAAGGAGAGCACATTTAAGTTTGGCTAACTTTTAAGAGACAGGAGCACTCCAGGGCAGCTATCCGGTCTGCACTGCACGCGTCAGGGCTGGAATAGCAGCGTCAGGTGTTTAGGGAGCTGCCTTTAAGCTAAATCTGACTTTGAAAAACATGGTAGGCAGCCACCAAGAAAATAGTTTAGCTTAAATACAGCAGGAGTCTTAAGTATCTTACAAATATTTGCCCTTATCATTTGTATTTATGCACAAGGCTCAAGGGATAAGTCCTTTATGTATTGCACAGCTCAATTTACCTCAGACTCAGGCTGCTTTATATCACTGAAAAATTAATGAACTGGGAGCTGAAGCTGTGTCTGTTGCTCAGTGTGAGTCACAAGTCACTGCAGCAAACACTCAGCTCATGTCAGCTTTTCCCTGTGTGATGTCTCCCTCTTCAGCACCTTGATTCCTGCCAGGTTGCTGGCATGATCACTGTCTCTCTGGAGAAGATGGAAGAGTGTTCCACCACACTACTGGCTCAGAAGCTTTTTGAAATCTTGCTCCTACCTCTGTCAAGAAAGTCTTCTGTGTTTCTTCATCACAACGAATCAGCTCCTTCATCACCATCACCTTTCCTGTTGCTTTGTGAGTCACCTGGTAGAAACAGAAACCACAACTACAGGCAAGGTTCAAGAATACATAGCTCCAATGCTCTTGCAACTCTTCTGAAAGAGAGGGTAACATTCCCCTCCATCCAGAGAGAAATACAGATGGGAGAAAATTCAGACCCCAGGGATCTGCAGAAAACTGTATAAAATTTCTCCTTTCAGAATTCAGCAAAGATTCTGTACATGAAACAGAAACTACCTAAAGCTGATAGAGGATCATACCAAGAGATCAACAGCATCCCAAGAACCAGAGCTGAAGTGTCCATTTCGGGTAGCATAGGGTGGAGCACGCACACAGGCTGTCAAAGCCTCTGAAGGCATCAGTTCCATACTTGTGCACGCCTCGAGTTCCCTTACAGAAAGTACTTGCCCAGCGTGATGCTCACTGTTTGTACACAGACCCTAACAACTACATTCTGTATCAGCACGGGAATCAGTGTTCACTTGCATCAGAAACCAAACCAAACAACCCAAAACTGCATTACTACACGATTTGCGTTTGTGGGGACTCTGAAGCCTGATGGTTTCTGATGAGCTTATCAAACTTACTCATGTGCAAGCAGAACTGGGATGTGCAGGCTGTTCAGTTAAGGCAGAAAGCAGTTATTTTACCATGCTCCTTGGGAGCAGTATACTGCTGCCTGCAAGGAATATCCCAGAATGGTGGCAAACACACAGAAATCCACCATAAACATCAGGTAATAAATCTCCTGGCTCTTGACACGGAAAGCATTTTCAGTTCCTCAAGCGCTGTTTGCCTGTACCCAACTAGTTCCTGGCATTTTTCTGTGTTCTAGAGGTTTCCTTTAACCAGCTTTGCCTTGCTTGTGTGGGGTGCATGAGTGAGTAGAAAAGGTCCAAATTCTGATGAGCAGGTTTTCCTGGAAATCCTTTCCCCTCCAGTTGCTTAACTTGGACAGCTCAGTCTCCCTAAGATCTCCAGGTAACTAAACAACCACCTTCTCTCTAGGAACAGAAGGAAACTATTCTGACCAGATACAGTACTTGTTGCATCAAAACCAGTCAATCTGAAGCTCAAGAAAGATGTCGCTTTTTTGCCTCATACCCTTTCAAATAAAAAGCCTTTCAGAAAACCTCCAGAACTGCAATCCAGAACACAAGATCCAGTTACAGTTTTTAGGAAGCTTATGAGCTTTTGCAAACACTGTGGCACACTAGTTCTGTTTGGAACCATAGGACATAGCAAGGCTGATATAGGTGGAATACAAATGCATGGAACACAACAGAAGCAAGAGTACAATATTCTTCTGCTCCTGCCTGAAATCAAGCATCCGTATACAAGTAGCGAGCCAGGGAACACTACACATTTCAGCCAGGGACATGAAAGCCAGGGACATCTAATACCCAAAGATAAAGGGAAGTGAAAAGACAAAGACAAGACAAGGCTAGGTGGAATTCTTAAGCTGACATACCAGCAAAATTGAAACAAGTGTCATTACGAAACTCTAAGAGGGCAATTTTAACTCCCAGAGCATGCACTAGAACAGGATGGCTATCGGATAATTTAGGCAAAAAAGAAACACCTTTGTGCCATTAACTGCGGGGACGCAGATGACAAAAGCATGCGACAGAGGAAAGGTTCTGCTTACCTGGACCTGTTATTTCTCTACGAGCAGAGGAGAAGAGAAATATGCTCATTAGTATGGATCAAAAGCATTGGGTTTGTAGTACTGGCTCACCACCTCCCATGGAAGCATGAGATGAACATGGTGGCTGGACACCTGAAGTTTATACAGGTGTAAGGAGAGAAGTCCCATAGCATGGTGAATAGCAATCTGAGTGCCGAGGAGCCAGAGGAAGCTGCCCCCTGATGCTGTCAGGGATGCCAGGACAGGAGCGGCTGAAGCACCTCCAGTCAAGACCGGAGAGCTTAAATACAAGAGAACTGCTATTAATGGAGATTTTAATCGCGAGAGTCACACAAGGCCTGACCACTAGCACCACACTGACGAGCCATTTAGGCTCTGCTGGGGGTTCAGAGATGGTCTGGCAAATCCCCAAGCATGCCACACTAAGGGTGGGTGAGAAATGCTGTCCTGGGGAGTTGAATGCACCTCTTCATAAGAAAGATGCTCCTAAGAGAAAGTGTAGCTTGTTCCCCATTCTCTCCACCTCACCCAGGTGGTCACTGTGACACAGGCACTCTGAAGCAATAAATCTTACTCGAGAGATAAGTATGTATGGCCAAGGTTGACGTTCAAAGGGGTCAAAGTCAAAGCCGCCTGCAGCCAGAGACACTCATGCTCAGGGAATGAAACAGAGAAAAGGATCTCACTGAGCAAACCAGGTGAGTTCCAAGACCAATCAGCAGGGCAAAGGCCACTGGGACAGTGGCAAAGGATCCCCAGACAGGCAGACATTGCTGTAATCAAAGCAAATGAGATCAATGTTTGGGGACCTCCCTCACCTTGATTGCTTGTCCAAAAAACCCTTTTCCTAGTACTTCGCCATGACTCAGGTCACAGGGCCGGAAGATTTGCTGGGAGCAGCTAGAAGAGGAACGTAGGGATTCAGAGCGACTGATGTCACGGCTCAGAAGGAGTGGTTCCTTTGGAGAACTGGGGCCAGGAGACTTAGAAATGCTGTTACTTCGCCTAGAAAACAAAGGAGAGAGGAAGATCAGGGAAGCTGCTAGGAAACTTCTGGTCCAACGTATCCTATCATTAGCTCCTAAGGGACCGGTTTCTAGATGTGCTTCAGTGCTCTTCATATCTCAAAAGCCAGATGCTCTCCCAGCACTGGGGAAGCTCTTTACAAACCTAGAGCAGCTTCCAAGTCAGAGCTGCCTAACACCACCACATCTCCTCCACTGTTAGTCAGAGGTGGAGCTCTGTGAACAGGAGGAGGAAGCTGTGAAGATGCAGCACTTGCTAGCTCTAAACAAAGATTAAAATACTGGTAAATGACTAAATGAGCAACTGCGTTCCCCAGTCTAGGAAGACAAGATTTTTCCCACATTCCAGGTCTCAGCCATATTCCTTTTAAGGACACATTCTTCCCCAGCCATTTAAGGCTGGTAGAAGACTGACCTTTACATTTTCTAACTGTAAAACTTCGTATCTTTTCTATGTTAAAAGTAAAGGTCCTTATTTTCATTAAGGAAAGTTTGCCACCCTGAAAGGGAATAGAGAGAATACATGTCAACAGCATAATCTAAAGCTCTCCACTGCTTTGCCAATGCTTTAAACCAAGGCTCATATCACAGATGAGTCATGTCACTGCGGTCATTTGCAACCACAGGACCTAGGGACAGAGCAGCCCAGCCAGGTAGCACAGGGCAAAGGCAAGCCAGGTCAGAGGCAGCAGCGCTTCCAAGTCTTTACCTGAGGGAGCGCCGTCGGAGCGTTCCTTCCAGATTCTCCTTGATGTCCAGTGGAGAGAGGGAGTGTGGGGAAATGGGTGGCTTTATGTGGGTGGGAAGACGGGAGTCCAAACGAAGCCTGTCTAAGCGTTGCGAGACAGGGTCGTGCTCTATCAGCAGTTGAAGTGTCTGGCTTGTCTTGCGAATCAAGTCCTCCACCTGCCATCAAACCAAAGGACAGGATGATAGCAGACAGGAGGAACACAAATGACAGGAGACAGAGGAGACACAGCAGAATGCCCTTCAGGAATCAAGAGTAGAGAGTTCAGTGAGATCACTGCATAGTTGTGGTTTAGTTGTGTGCACCACAGCTGTCTACCAGACAAATCAAACTAGCAACACAGAAGTTCCTTATGCTATCCAAATCCTTTCTGGTCAGCTACAAGTGACCAAACACTTTTTATTTTCCCTTTTCTGAGAAGTGTTCAAAAACCACACAAGCTTCCATCCTGAACAGTGCGGCAAAAAACAGCTTTGCAAAAGCTACATGGAGATTTCTCTGAGATGTCTATTGTGCTCCTAACGTTCTCTTCAGCACCAACAGTAAATAAAACCATTGCATAGTGAAGGTAATGGTGGTCTCAGTACACTCTTGCAGCATCACCTGATATCTGTATCAAGCATTTACTTGTAAATACAGACATCGAATACTTCTTTTTGCAATGGGAAACTCATCCCTAGGATCAGCTGAGCCTTTGTCTGTTGGCAGTTGCCTCTAAAAGGATCAGAACAGTGGCCTTCACTAGTAAGACATGAAAAGTCTTCACAGCCTCTCTGTCCTCTGAGATTTCACAGCCCTACACTTTTCTTATTAACTCCCTTCATGTTTGAATGCTACAAAATCAGAACTGCATCCTAATTGCATTTCCATCTGTTACATTTTCCTCTTCAGCTGGAAGGGGTAGCAAAACTTGTCTTCATGTTTGTTCCCACTGTCGGCACGAGTACTATGGGTGTACACACACTGTATGTAGGGTGGGAGAACAGTGCTGAGAAACAGAAAAGCTGTAGGACGGCAGACGAGAAGGAGGCTTCCAAACAGAACTCTACCCACCTCCTCCACCTGTAATGTACGAATAGGAGCTCCGTTAATCTCCAGGATACGATCTGCAGGGTGGATGGCGTTTCGGACATCTGGGCTGATGTGCATCCTGTTAACTCTAAACATGGGAATTATAGTGTGCGTGGGAAGTCAGTTTAGCCAAAATTATAAAAAGTATTTGATCTCTGATGCTTCCCTTCACATTGGTATTCTGAAATAAAACAATGCTGATCTACCACCACAGGGAACTACCAAGTGCTTAGGTATGAGCTGGTTTGGGCAGAGCTCTTCATTTGCCCAATGGCAAAAACTGTTAGTCCATTACAATTCGCCAAGTGTTTTGTGTTCAATGAAGGAGACAGCACTGAGAAATAAATTATCAATTAAGTTCGTCACAAGAGTGAAACAGAGACCAAACACAAATGGCTGTTAGCCAACATATGTCCCTGTTGTGCCGAGACAGATGCCCTCAGCAGTTAAAGCAGCTGGCAGGACAGCAGCACTGCGGAATTTTTACCAGCTCCCTCTGCGCAGACAAGTACCTTGCACACTACTTTGTCATACTCACTCTTTCACCTGGACACCAGTGGCATAGCTGGAGCAGCCACCTTCAACAGACACGGAGAACCCCCTCTTGCCATCAGTAGCTGCTGGCATGGAAATGAGGGTCAGCGTATAAGGCAGCTGCTCACGTAGAGACTCAGTGGAGTGTTTTTCTATCATCGGTGTCAGCACAATCTGGTTATGGCATTTTCCACTAAAAGAAGTAAAGAAAGTCATTATGGCAGTGTCCTATCCCTCCCTGCCAAACTCACACTTTTAAGTTCTCTCATTGACCATAAGCTATAGTTCTAAGTGCTGACTCCATTCCTTCCTCCCTCCCTCAAAAGGCAGCTTCCTGGCACTCCCGAGCGCAGCATTTGGCGGAACCGCACTGAGCCAGCTGAACGCGGCTTACACATACATCAGGGAGCAACTCTGTGGCAAAGCATGCAGCTCCCTCTTACCAGTAGAGAGTGGAATGTTGCACCAGCGCGTAAGTGTCCCCATCTTCAATGATCACTTTGCAGCTCATACAAGCAAAGCACTCGGGGTGATACTTGTATTCGCCAGCCACCTACAGACAGAAAAGGGAGTAGCTTAGAAGGGCCAAAATCCATCAGCAGATGCAGCTACTGCTTTCGTCTCTAATTAACATGTTCATTCAGATCTCAAAGTCAAGTGGAGAGTTATATTAGTCCATTCTGCCTTTCCCGAACCCCATCCTTGGCACCTTGTTTGCAAAACTTCTCTGAAACAAACATGTCAACATGGAAAGCAAAGCTTGTGGCCCAGGAACCTCTGCTATATTTGGCAGCTGCTCAACTATCAAAAATAGTTGGTAGTCTGCTGCAGACTAGTAAACAAGACATTAAACCTTCCTGTTCAGTTGCTCTTGGCAAGATAACTAACGTTACGCCTGAATTAATAAAGCTGAAAGGGCTTTTTTTTTTGGCAGACAGGCAGCGCACAAATTCAGATACTTTACCAGCCAGCTGACAGAAAAAAAAGTGAGCTAAGACTGAGACAACAAAATACCTTGAAAGAATGTTTTTATTCATTGATCTGTTTTTCTATTTTTCTTATGAGAACTTCTCTTATTGACAGTATTTTGCAAAGACTTCTGGAGGCAATGAGAAATTATCTGCACTTTTCTCAGTACTTCCCTTTGAGGTGGCAATCGTATTACTGAGTACCGTGCTGCTTTTATTTAGGCCCTCAAAAATAACGGTTATGTTCCTTTCTTGACAGTTTTAAAGGTTCAATATTTGCAATGTTGTGGCAAGAAGGGGAACATGTAGGTGAGCTCCATATTATGCAGGCAGAGTTCAATGTTTCAAAGCAATTGGGTCTAATACTACTTCAAGACGCCATCAGCCAGAAAACCACTCTGGCCACAGTCCAGGTGGGACTCAGACAGCAACCTTCCCCAAAGCCAGAACCTGTTGCTTATCCTGAGCTGAGAGGTTTGACTCTGCAGTGCAGTGGAAAGTCACCCCATGGAGACACTGAGGCACCGTGCTACAGAAACTGAACAGATGTTCCCTTAATCACCTTTCTATTTCCCATGCCCGTGCATTTCAGCACCTTACTTTTGTGTTCATATGCTTCAGATCCTCTCAACTCCCAACTCCCTCCTTTAAGAGTTACCTCCATTCACAATTTTACTCTAACTAGAAGATGCACACAGAAGCCTCATTTCTAACCTCTGATTAGAGATTAGAGTAGCAAAGAGACTATTACCTTCAGTTTATTTGATTATCTGAATAGTTAGGGCAAGTCCCAACCAAGTTCAAGGAGTTGGAGACAGGCATGTCCCGCCTCCGGGCAGGAGTCCTTTAGCATCCTTACCATCACAGGTCCAGTCATCAGCAGAGAGCAGCCATGGCAGGACTCCCCAAACTTCCCCCAGTAGTCTTTGTGACAGTACAGCTTCCCGTCTTTCTCATAGTACCAGTTAGTGAGGGGATCCTGACATTCAGAGCACCTTGAAGGAAACAAAGGAACAAGGATCCAGTTGGCAACAAGTCACAAATCAACGGAAAAGCTCCTCTCCTACATGGAGAAAACTGACATTCAGCAGCAGCTCACCCGCAGCTCTTCTAGCTACGGGTGTACTAAACCCCTCCATTTTCCAATGCTTTTTCAACTGCAAATTAGCACCAAACCCAAGGTTTGTAAGGAGAGGTGGTATCAACCAATACAAAGGAAAAGACAAACTTCCGAAGTTTAAAACAAATCCCGTCCACTTACTAAAACACATCAGTAGGTTTACAAATTCTGCCCTATAAATTTTGCTCCTTTGCTTTCTCCCTCTCCCTGGATGCAAGCTTCCAGCTGCAGAGTTACCTAGCACACAGATAGCTCTGCTGTTTCTACTTAGTGTTTCTATAGCATCACACCTTCTTGTGCCAGAGCACCTGCCTCCTCAGCCAGTTTAGGAAGGGGGCAGAGAGGCAGGATCCACTTCCCTACGCAACGCAAAGCTGGTTGGTGCACCAACCTTTCTGGAAAGCCCTTCTATTCTTCTGTAAGGAGACCTCTCCCAAAAGGTCAACTGCAGCACTGTCCATTTGAGGGAGTTTTCGAAGCAGTTCATCCTGAGCTTCACATACTTACTGCATCCACCAATTAACTGTAATGAAAGTCCTCCACCTCTCCCCACCAATTGCTCTCCCTTTCCTTCTGCTGATGACAGTGCATGAAGAAAAAACCCACAACCAACCAACTGAAAAAACACCCAAACAAAACGATTTATCTTATTTCATGAAGGGAATCTCAAAATCCTTCACATGTCAGTGTCAGCTCCCATCTCAACAAGCAACCATTATCAATCCTCCATCTACACCACCCCCCCAAGAAACAAACTTCCCCCCCCAAAAAAACAAGGAAAAACATTCAGCAATTCTAGTGCAGATATCATTTTAGCAAATCACAAGCAGAACCCGGATCTTCAGGCTTGCTGAACACAAAATAATCCTGCCTCAGCAGGATGCACTGGGCAAGGGAGTTTAACTTCTGCAGCACGGAGGTGTGACTTAATGGAGAGATAAGACACAGACAGCAGTTGCATCACTAAAGATTATTCCATTAGCCCTGGGCAGCATGTTCTCAGACTTTAAAAGGAAAATTAGTCTGGTATTGGCTATTTCTGAGCACAGATTCCAAGGCAGGTTAGTGACCAATAACTGGTTCAAAGAAACACCTGGAGGATCAATGCCACCATCAGTACAATGCTTTCCCAAAGGCGGAAGGAAGAGTTTCTTCTGCCCCTTACCCTAACAATTGTCTCAGTTACTACATTGAAGCGGAACCCATTGCACGGCGGCGTGGGGCTTCCAGTAGGCACGTGCCCTCCTGGACAGCTGGCCTCTCCACAGCAGCAAGGGCCCTCAAGTCAGCTCGTGGCACTGGAGGTGCACTTTTTACACTCTCCCAGGCCTCAGATGAGAGCTACTGTTGACTTCACCTTTCACAAGCTTCCTGAAAGCTTATTTGTGCCAAAGACATTCCTTGTAAACTCCACCAGCTTGTAACGAGCGTGATGATATGCGAAGCTGGTCATGCTCCAACATGGAAAGAGTTACTTGCTCCGTGTCAGGAGACTGCAAAGCAACAAGGTGAAGCTGCTTGTAAGCAGCCTATGGTTTTAGGGGAAAACACACCTCATGAGGTATTTAGTGCCGTACCCTACCCTCAGGAAAGTTGCTTGTTCTAATGTATTTGGCTTTTATAGTGTTTGTTCTCACAGCTGAGGAGCTCCAAATTCTGCCCCCCCCTTCCTCAGTGACGGGAAAGAACTCCAGCACGTGCAACAGGCCCTGCCAATTCTGTCTGAGGCAGGGGGAGCAGCAACTTCACATTGCTATACATGGTGCATGCATCATTACAGCCTCAGCCTTGGGGCACTGTCATGGTTACACCCTGCTCATGGTATGCAAGAGACCTAGAGGGCATTGCAATGCATTTTCCCTTCAACCACTAGCCTTTGGCTTTCATTTGCAGTAAATACCCCACGCTGAATGATCAAGTAGGTGAGTGGGAGGGAGAAAAGAACAAGTGGAGACTAACAGCAAAGATTTCTATCACCTTGTGGCAGGAACATCTGGCACAACAGCATGGGCAAATCGGATCCCTCAGACTTATCCGAGTTCTGTGTGCATGCCTGTACCAGTGTGTGCTCCAGGAGTGATTACATCTTCAAACAAGGAGCTGTGACCAGACCTGCACTTGGGATGCAGACAGCAATACTGGAGACTGCTCCACCAGGACTTCAAGATCTGTCTTTCTGTAAGTTCTTTCCAAGCAGGTGGGTTATTTATTCATTTGTTTTTAAGCACAACACCTTCCCTTCCTCACCCCTCTTCAATTTCATCTTGAACCACTCCTTTTTCTCCCTAAGAAAATCTAAAATTTCTGCAAAAGCAATACAACTGCAATTTTGGTTAGATAGGCTCCAGAGGATCACGTGCGCTTGTCTTCCCTTTACCTTTCTCCTACTTCTTCAGTTTGATTCCAACCTTACAGCACTTTGATTAGTTTGCTTCCATCCGGAAATAAGCACTGGTATCTAATTTGCAACACACCCATAGCAAAATGAAGGTGAGGGGGTGGAGCCAGCAAGCAGTCAGTTCTTTGCTATGCAATTAAACAAATCTGGGCAGGACAAGTTTGCAGCTTAAGGCTCAGCACCCCACCCAGGGCAATGAGGCAACAGGAACAAAGCAACCAGCCCCAGAGAGGCTAGATGCTGGTAATGGGTCTAACTGGCTAGTTCGTTAATCACTGCCCGCAAGAGGACATGGCTACAGTCCGTATGGCCAAGCAGCACCTTCTGTTATTTACCACGCGTTCTGTGATGTAGAAAAGGCTTTACATTTGTCAGGTGTGGACTGACAGCACACATGTATAGTTTTAAGGCTGTTTCAACTGTTTCAGTACCTTCACCCAAATGATAAAGGCAGCACGTGATAGTTCCACATGACCCTCTGAAGAGCTATGTCAGAATTTTATCACAGAAGACACAAGAGATACCACTCCTTCCTTTCCCCCCTCACTAGAGCACGTGGCATTGCAGCACTGCCACTGCCAGGGCTCACATCAGCTGAGACAGGAATACAATTACTTCTAGAGGTATTAAGCAAGCTAATCTTTGTCAGTCTCCACAACCAAAAGAAAGGAAGATTTCTTGCTCCTCTGTCTTTTATAGATTAGAAACCGCTAATCTTCTCCTAGATGATTTGCTGTTCTTATTACAGAGTAACAACGCATGGTAATCAACGTTCTTGGAGGACTGGTAACAGCCATACTTCACGTGTTTCCTCTTGCTGCCCAGCCACCATTTTCAGAGCTGCAGAGCCCTGCTCTGATTACAGTCCCATACATTATGATTCCTCGATTCCCAGCCTTGGTTAAAAAGAATAAATTAATCTGCCTCCCATAGCCATCCTCCAGGAACCTCAGGCAGCATCTGGGTGCAGTGTTCAGCACTAATGCTCTGTAGCACAGCAGGTGTAGAAAGAGTTCACAAATCCTTGCTTGATGGCTACTTGGTTTTGGCGGGGGTGGTAGGAGGATCAGGTCACAACAGGTAACCAGCCTGGTTTTCAGCAAGATGGAGATTCAATTGATGTGCCATCTCTTTTACATCTAAAGGAAAGCCAATACCCTCATGGAAGCAAAGACTTCCCTGGCACTGAGGAGACAGATCCCTTTGAGAAGGGCTCATTAATAAAATCTACCCCCCACACACCCTGTCAGGCTAGATCAGTTAACGCTAGACAGGCTCAAAAGAGCTGTGGTTCCAATTCTGCAGGCAGGGCCGGGGAGAGGACAGTCACGCAAACAGAAAGCTGCAGAATAAAACAACCCCAGCTTGTAGCTAACTCAAAGGCTTCTCACTCAGACTTAGCAGAAGTGTGTGTGCACTGGCTATATAACAGACACTAGAAAAGGAAGAACAGATGCTAGAAAACAAACCAAATACAAGAAAACAGAGTGTTTAAGCTCTGGCTATGCAAAACCATTTCCACACACTTCAGAGAAGGTGTATCTATGGCTTAGCAAGGTGCCCTGCACATATTACAGATAATGAACACCTGCTCACTTTCCTTCTGAAAGTGGATGCTGTTTCAGAAAGTTGCCCAAAGACGCTCAGCAATTGCACAGCAGTATTTACTTCTACCCTACATTGTTTTAACAAAAGGCTCCTTGCTCCCAAATCAGTACAACAGTGTGTTTGCAGGAACAGGATCAATAATGAGCAAATCCGAGCGGAGGGGAATAGGAGAGAGACAATGAAACTGCAAGCCTTGCCTTTCCCCATCCGCTCACCGTATCAGCACATCAGTGTCAGTCACAATCCCGCCTGTGTTCAGCCCCACCAAGTTTCCACTATGGAGATGTAACGCAATCAAAGCCTTATTCTGTAGCTATCACCTTTCTCAAACCTCATTTGTTCAATTGGACCAAGAATGGTTGTTAATATAAACAAAAATATCACAGGAGAAGAATCCTTTCCATGTAAGGGAAGTGTGCTGCTTGTCCCTAGTTACCTGCAAAGGACCCGATTTCTGTGCTCAAACGGGATTATGCACTGCCTCACTGCAGATTACATCACCTTGAACTCGCAACGGCACACCTCACCTCACCCTGCGCTATGCCCAAGCACAAGTAGCTTTGGAAGAGATAAGCAGCAGCAGCCTCAGTTATCTCATTCCCCTGGCAGTGGAGGAAAGCACAGGGGCATGGGGCAAAGTGGCATGCGTAGTGTTGCTCTGAAAGGAAGGGAGCCTGCTTGCCCAGGCTTCCCAGACACAGCCTCACAACACAGGTGCCGTTCCCTCGTACCAGAGAGCTGCAAAGAGGCTGGTAATAAGAATCTTCCCCGCCTCCTCCTCAGAGCAAGACAGGATCCCAGTCTGAGGCCGGCTGTTCCCAGCACACTAGCACTGGACTCATTCTTCACGCCTTGCATGCTAACTGCTTATGATAGCGTTACGGGGGGCGGGGGGGGGAATGACACTTTGAAGATCCACTGCTAATCCTGCGCAAGACTTACCGAAAGGGATCCTTGGGAGCGAAGTAAGCTGGGGCAGACAAGTAACTTCCCATCTTCAACACTGGATAAACCGGCTCAGCCACAAACTCGTCCAACTGCCTCTGAACAGCTCTGTTCTGCCAACATGGCAGCAGCCAGTGCTCATTTAATCTTGCGCTGATTCAGATACTTCACCTCTCTTTGAAGCTGCCCAAGGAATGCCAGGTCTCTCGGCTGCTCATTCCTTTTCAGATTTTTCCTGGCTCCCATAGCTATAACCATCTTCTCCTGCACTCAGCGGCGGCGGCACCCTTGGGAAGGATAGAATAACTGCTAACCAGGCTAGTTGGACATGCTTCTGCAATAGTTCTTGCGAGCTCTGCTGCCTGCTAACTATTGTCAAGTTTTCCCTTCTCTGGTTCCACCCAAGGGTGGGAGGGGAGGAGGAGCCATTGCAGGAGGACTGCGTGTGGCTACAGAGGCTGAATAAGCTCTGCTTCTTCACAAGGGGTGGAGCTTTGATCCAAAGAGGGGCTGCGTTAATAAGTGCTGAAAGATAGCAGCTTTTGCCAAAGCAAGAGCCAAGTGCGTAAACGTGAAACTACTCTTTGCAGCAGTGGCACAGTCTGATGGAGAAGTCAAGGAAGGCAGAGCGTGACAAAGACAACTAGCCACATCTCCAAACACATCAAATTAGTATTTACTACATACCTTCCTAAATCCCTCCCTGTGGGGGGTATATACTACTGCCACAGTACTCACAATCTGTTCATCCTCTTGCAGGAGGTAACTCACAGTGTGTGCTTCATCCAAGGAAAAGTAACTTTCTTTCCAACACTGTTTTAACAGAGATCATTGCAATCCTTTAACCTAAACTTCATCTCCTGAAGGGAAGCTGAGAAGTATAAATCAGCACAGACGAGTACTCTCTCCTGCTTGCAGCACATGTAGTTATATCATTTAGCCTGCTCTGAAGCCAAGCATGATCTCTAGTGGCCTAATCAGCTAAAGCTGTTTGCAAGACACTCAGAAATGCAACAAACATATGCTGCTGCACTGAGCCCTCCCATTTTTGTACAGTCAGCAAAGCCTGGCGTGCCTGAACACAGCCTGAAAATCATGTTGTGTTCCAGAGGCAAGAATACTCAAATGTGCTTTTACTGGAGATGCTCGTCTCAGCTGGCATATTGTTTGAAGGACGCTTGGGGCTGGGACAAGGCAGTCTTGGCTGCAGATTTGACAGCTGCTGCTCGCTGTTGAAGTAAGCAGAAAGCCAAGCAGCCTTTTGGGTTGTTTTTTCTTGTTTTTTATCTTTTGACTTTTAATAAGCAGCCACCTTTCTGAAAAAAATAAATCATCATTTTCACCCATTCAGTGCAGTTGCTAAGCCTGGCTGTAACAGTGCAGTGAAGTTTCGTGCTGCAGAGCCCGATGTGGTTGTCCATTCCAGCACGGGTCTAATTCCTTCTGACATTTCACACAGCTCTACTGGAAGCGGCAACACGGTGAGTCTGTGTCTAGGAATGCACTCTGGTCTCCCACATTCTCTATATGTTGCGTGCTGAAAATGGGCCAGCACTCACAATCCAAGGCTTCCCTGGCCATCGGCAGCCCCCCCACCACAAACACATACCCCAGCCCATGGCAGAGCCCCTGCCTGCCCAGCATCACCTGCAGACAAAAGCTTCCCCCCCACAATTCTGCTGCCATGGGCTGAACTCCCTCCAAGGGGGATTCCACGTGACCTCATAAATCCCAACTCTTCAGACAAAACCTTTGAAGATTTGATCCACAGATGTGATAAGCAGCCAGCTAGTCTGTGAATGAAGCCAGGAGATAAAGCCTAACTTCAAAGTAATAAAAACCACCCAGACAGCTAAGCAACTGGGAAGGGATTTTGTTTGAGACTTCCTTAAAGCCAAAGGACACATAGTCAAATGTCTATTTAAACAGGAAACATCTTATCAAAATGATTTTACTTTTGCAGCAAGCCCCAGCAGCAGCCAGTGAGTTACTTTTTCCTTCACAGAATTCCCTTGTTATTTCTTGCCTTTTTTATTGTCTCTATGACCTATTTAAGAACACAATAGCTCTGATAAAAGGGCTCTGGAAAAGGTGTTAATGCATTCATACATTCTAGATCTGAATTCCTGCCAGAATGACTACTTCAAAAATGCTGATAAACAGGTGTAGGGGGGGACCTTTTCTATGTAATTTTACTGATACCATCTCTGAGGGCCAAAATGCACCAAAGCAAATTTCTTTTTCAGCAGTTGAAGTCAGATATCGGCATCTTCTCTCTTGCAAATGCTGACAGCATTTCCACTACAAACATGTAGCCATCGCAGGGGGTTGCTTTCCTTACTATGGTTCAGAATTGTAGAGTAATTTTTGTCAGAAAGAAGCCTGAGAACTATAACTAGCAAATAAAAAGGCACAAATGAAAAACCTCCACAATGACAAAACATGAAACTTATTGGAAATTGAGTCGTAGCCATTACAGTTTTAGTTGTTTACAGGGGTTAGATCTCGACACCCTCTTTAACACACAGTTCATGCTGTCCAACAGCACATCTACAGACAGACGCATTGCTCAGCACATCCGCCAGCCCTAAGATACACACATTTATCCTGGCACCGACAGGCGCTTCGGTATGTGTGGGACTGGTATAAGCTGGGGGAGAGGCATCTATCTGCTCGATGCCTGAAGAGACTGCAGCAAGTCTTTGTTTCGGCATGGGCGCAGTTTGGAGGCATTCCAAATACTTCAGTACAATCCCAACACCTCATTGTATTTCCAAGGCACTTACACGTAACACGTGCTTTGCTGCTGTTTAAAGACAGAGTCAGCTCCTGAAACTAATACGGTTTTGATATGCACGTACCTCTGAGCGAAAACTCTTGTGCACAGCCCTTGAGGAAACTAAAATGAACAGTGAGGCAGAGCTCATCTCCATTACTGCATCTTACTTCTAAGCAGCGGCAGAACTTCAGACCAACACGGTGATGCCTTCTCAGTACTTAACAGCACTGAGCACAACATTAGGATGGAGATGGAATTTTTTTCACCACCATACCTGCCTAATGGCTGCAGACCTGAATATGGGCAGGCTGAGAAGCAAACCAAAGAAATTGAACCTACTGGAACTTCACAGATTATATATGGTTTTAGAAGCAGTGACTTCTGACCTGTAATGCAGGACAGATGGCAGTAAGACCAGCACTTACACCTCTGCATCTTCACTTGCTTCCTAACTTGCTGCTTTTGTCTGTGCAGATCGCTAAACTCCTGAGGGAAGGCTCCTGTCTCTCTCATGTGGAAAGCCTACCACATACTGGGCTGTGTGAGTAATTCTAATTACCTTGCTATAATAATGCTCTGATAACAAGGCCCTAAAGAACAAGCCCCATAATTCACAAGTCAACTAAAAAAAGTTTGGACTGGAATGCGCAACTCCTCTTTAAACATCGATGTCCTGTAGCTGATAGATTCCCCTGAGGAATGTGGCCACTTGCACCTGCAAAGCGCTTCATTGTTCCCTCGGATTTTTAAACTCCTGAGCAGTCATGGTGATCTGTGCACAAACAGGCTCTTAGCAACTATTTCTCCCTAAATCTGATAGCGAGCTGGTGAATTTCAATGCTGATGGAGACACCAAAGAGACATTCCCAGGAATCTACAGGATTAGTGAAGAGCTCTCACCTATAATTAGCTTTCTATAACTGCCAGAAACTGGAGACCAGGAAGAAGAGGAGATTCTTGTCTTCCTGCTTCTACTATAATTCAACTATTTTCTGTTACTGCTGATCTTTCCCCTGCTCTCAACTTCAGCTGCTCTGCATACAAACCTGAAAAGCTAAAGGAAGATTCAAAGCATCAAACATCCCCACATTTCAAATTCATCTTACCACGCACCTTTGCTTACATCTTCATTTGTCAACATCTGTATATTTGAGCTTCATATCCTGTCCCTGTAGATCTATCTGTCCTGCTGTCTGTGGGGAAGAAGCAGCTTTTGGAAAATGAAGCCCTGTGCCAAACAGTTTGAACCAACAGAAGTGTTCCAAAGTCTAGAAAATACAGTCCGTGAGAAAAAGGCAGATCCAGGGCTTCTTCAGTCTGGGAGAGACCGATGGGAGACGTGATTGCTGCTTTCAAACAGGAAAAGGTTACTTGAATAAAAGAAGGGGAAAAAAGCTTGTTTTCCATGTCCATTGTGAATGTGACTAGGAAAATTGATTTAAATTGCAACAAGGGGGATTTCTGAAGATAGCAGACAGAAGCTTCTAACACTAAGGATAATTAAGTGCTCGTAGACATAGTCTGGACGACAGCAAAACCTACAGCGGTGGGAGATTATTAGATGACCAGTTTCTTGATCATTCCTAAGCCATAGAAATTACTTGCTTCAAATGTAAGAAGTTTAGTAGATACCCTAAGAACCACAGAAAACAGATTTAGAAAATACCCTCAGAAGTCATCTAGTTTATCCTACAACCCCTGAAACAGGTTTATTTATATACATTCTTAAAACAAGTTTGCCTGGCTTGCCTTGCCCCAAATGTAAAAAGAATCAAAGTGATTCACTCAGTTTTGCTGACCAAAAAAATCTTTCTATAGCACACAAAATATGCCATTTGGTATAGAAAAACAACGTCTTTGTCAGACAATCAAATCACTAGAGTTGGCAAATTAAAAGTGGTTTTCTGTTCAGTATCCTGGAGCTTAGGGTATCCCCTCGAGGCACGGATAGCTAATCCAGTTCTGTTTTCTGACCATGGAGAATTGTCACGCTGCAGAGAGCATACAACAGGCGGGTGATGAGGGATTCTGGGAAGAATCTCCTTTTAACCTTGTTCCACTACTGAGAAACAGTCAGAAGGAGAATTTGTTTCAAGTTCACATACCAGTAGGAGACAGAGCCAGGAGTTCTTCTGCACTCGGGCAAAACTCTTCCATTTTTTTTTCAAAGTATTCTTTTAGAGAAAACACCTTCTGGTAGTTACAACACTCCTTGTGTTCTTGTTTCTAGCTCCAGGAAAGGTTAACAGAATTTGAAATAGAGTAACATGTTCAAAAAGAATGCAAGCACCTGAACAATCTGTCAGGTGCATTGATTTAA